AGAAGAGAGAAAAGAGAGAGAGAGGTGGGGTGGGGAGGAAATAGATAGAAAGACAGAGGGGGAAGAAAGGGATAATGGAAATGAGTAAAAGAACGAGAAAGAGAAAGGTACAAATATTTTGGCGACATACCTAGTTTCGGGAAAGCTTGAGTGGTGCCAAGACCTGCCGAAAACGAGAGGGGGGCTCATTTGTACAACATGTCTTCAAGATATGACAGACAAATACACACAGACACAAAGAGACAGGGTCTAGACACAATATGAAGTTTTGTGAATGATATAACCGTAATCATTACATTATTATGATACCTGTTTTATGCTAAGACCGCTAGCGTGAGGTGCAATATTTTTTTCTCAATATTAGCTTATCTTTTTGTGAGCTTGGTGTTTTTCCATTGTCCGCATGTGCGCTATTATACTCGTTAGGTTTTGATTTTCAATCTAGTTCTTTTCTCTTCTGCCACAAAGTTGTTGCTTTTTTTGTTGTTTTTGTTTTTACGTCTTTTCTACCGTATAGTTGTTTGTTTTGTTGGGGTATTTTTTCTCGATCCCATTTTTCCTACTTTGCTCACTTCGATACTCCTGGGACTATCATGACTCTCTATTTTTGTTCAAGTCTTTCTCTGTCTTCCAGTATTTTTTTATTCTCCCTCTGTGTCTCCCACATCTGTATCTCTTACCTCTTTTCCCCTGTCTCTTTTTTCTCATTTTCTACTTAATCGTTTCAATCTCATTTTTAATCCTTTTCACCCAACATCTCTAAAGGTATTTTTATCGTCGGCACAACCTATCACTCTCCCTCCATCTCCCCCAATCTCCCCCCCCTCCATCCCCTCTCTCTCTCCTCTCTCTCCTCTCTCTCTCTCTTTCTCTCTCTCTCTCACACACACACACACACACACACACACACACACACACACACACACACACACACACACATACACACACACACACACACACTCTCTCTCTCTCTCTCTCTCTCTCTCTCTCTCTCTCTCTCTCTCTCTCACTCTCTCTGGCTGTTCTTGTTCGTATGCTAACAGTACATCAATTTTGTTGGTACATTATATCACCGAGCCTTCGACAATAAGTTACATCAAAAACGATGTCAGAGAAAAATTAGAAGTAGCAAAAAGAATTTACTTAATTATTGATTAAATAAAGGATAATGAACTCAAGAAAACTCAAAAGCAAAAGCTGCAAAATGAGCAGAAGGCGCTTTCATTAAAATCGGAACATCTTCGAAGCGACAAATGACCTACACGAGTCATTGGCCCTAACGTTCTGTTTTCACCGCAAACGGAGCGAGGAGAATGGGCGATCTTTGGCTTTGAGTACATTGTTACTCTTGGTGTGTACTCACCCATCAGACATCCTTTAAATAAAACACTAAGCAGCCAGTGAGCCCACATAACCGCAACAATAGCTACGACCGCCGTTCATGGCATGGAGGATAGATGTCTTACACTAACGGGTGGCCTCCTGGGGCATAGAGACGTGATCTGCTGGCAGAGGGCGCGAGAGAGAGAGAAGAGAGAGAGAGAGAAGAGAGAGAGAGAGAGAGAGAGAGGGAGAGAGAAAGAGAGAGAAAAAGAGAGAGGGGGGGGGAGAAAGAGAGAGAGAGAGATAGACAGAGACTGAGATAGAGACAGAGACAGAGAGGAAGAAAAACGCATTAGTCATTGAGATCAAAGAAATTAATGAGGCAAGATCTGCCGCTCCTGAATTTATCTTCGTTTGTACAAAATGACTTCTAAAAAATGGATTGTATTTCCTGTATAAGAACTAGGTCCCCAGGGAGTAATAACATGTGCTTAGATAAAAAGCAGGCCACCGAATTCTCGGAGTCAGGATCAAGAGTATTTTCTCCAGCCACTGGATATAAGCGGACACATAGCGAGAAGAATTGTCAATGCCATCAATAAGAATAGAATATCTATTTACTTAACAGGAAGGCATCGTGGAGGAATGATGGATAAGCACCCTACGATGGTAATTCGGACGAGCGATGTACTTAGTCAGGGCGTAGCTTGTGGTAACAAGTTGAAAGCAAAGAATTAATCATATTTCTCTCATACTTTGATGCCTGTTTGAACGAGACAAACATAAATATTGGATGGCTTTTAGCTGATCCATATTTCCACCATGAATAAATAAAGAGTTTGCATTTTTTTTTCTTTCATCATAACTGAACTGTCTTTGTACAAACGTGGCGAGCACCGTTAACCCAATTTGTTGTAACGAAACACCACGTTCTTTAACTGTAATTGTTATGCAAAAACGAGATCTACTGACCTACATTCTATAACAAATTCTAGCCAGAGTTAGCCTTTTTATGAGGTTTCTTTTGGGGGGTTGGGGGGGGGTAGCTTCAATCATAGGCTACAAAACATTAATCTGTTGGACAAATGTCTATGTTGCGACATTGCGCATAAGCAGTATGTCCTGGGGTTAACAACCGAAGCTAGATCTATATTTTTCTGCTGCTTATTCACATCAGCATCCAGGAGAGAGAGGGTAGTGTTCATCGTCAATGAACATACCAATCATCAGTCTCTACTACTCACCGACAGGTAAAAGAAAAACGAAGGTTTATTTTTATCATTTTATACAGTCCAGAAATAGAATGTGAAAATCGATCCTCTTATCATCCTCATTGCAATCAATAGATCGCCTCCCCCCCCCCCCTCAAATTTAAAAAAAAAATTAAAAATGCTCTCCTAACATGCACAAAGAACCTACGGGGAAAAAACCCCAAACAATAACGCAATACGAAATTGATCATGTAGGGCTCAGGGCCATACATTCTTATATTCTCCGAGTTTTCAGATCGTCTCGGCGGAGGCTGTTGACGGGGCGCAGAAGTAATCAGCATAATAAAGACATGTTTATGATGTGTTACATGGGCAATCATCATTCCATGAGGCAATCTTCCCCGCAGGTGTCGCTCCCGTCTACTCACATTCCTTGACCCCAGCCTGCTCCGGCTCATCGGCATCCCCATCCACAACTCAATTAATGGAAGCCGCCGATACCACGACACTAAATTGTGCCATCCGTTCTCAGTTATTCCACTCACTCCTCCCACTCCCCCAAAAGTCATTCACCCACTCTACTCTCCTTTCCTTTTTCTCTTTCCGTCTCTGTCTCTGTCGATCTCTCTCTCTCTCTCTCTCTCTCTCTCTCTCTCTCTCTCTCTCTCTCTCGCTCTTAAGTGTTGTACGAGCTGCTATATCAACGTCATTATATTCTCTATCTATTTCTATACATGTAGTC